CTAATTTGGGACTTTTTCTTTCCAGGTAGGTAAGTTCCCCACTTGGTTGAAAGAATATTATAAAACAAAGATGTAGGTGAGACTGTGATGTTTTCAGTAGCTCTTGCATCCCTTTTCTCTTTCACTCTTCCCCAACTCTGCTGTCAGCCCTTCTTGTGTGTGGGTTCTCTGTTTTCACATCAACATGACAAAGAGAAGACGTGGTTGGGGGTTCTCTCTGGAAACTTACCTGCTATGGGCGGGCTCACCAAGTACGGCACTGCATGGAGGAAGTGCACCACACCGAGCGCTGATGACAAAGAGGTGGTCCCCACTATTTCTGTGGTCACTACTGGGATCAAGGTGACGTAGGCACCATCAAAGTAGCCAAAGGTACAAGAGAAAGGCACGAGCAGTGGGAGACTCTGAAGTATTGGGAGGCAGAGATAGCAGAGCCCATCTAGTCCCACGGCCAAGAGGTAGCAAACATACTGATAATTCTTCAGACACCTGTGGATTTGAAGAGCATGAGTGAGTGCAGGATGCACAGGCTCTATAAAAGAGCTTTAGAACCATGGCCATGCAGCAGTAGGCATTGCAGTTATTTATACAGATGGCTTCCCCATTGTGTGTTATCTATGTTGTCTTCCTATCTTTCTTTTGGTATATGCAAACACAAGAATGTATCTCCCCAGGAAGCATGGTGTGGTAGGAAGAATATATGCTCTAAAATGAGAAAGGTAGAAGATTGAAACCAGTTTTGTCACTAAGTATGGCCTCGATTTCTTTAGCTGTAACGTGAGAAGGTTACCTATCTTGAAGGGTTACTCTAAAGACAGTTGTGAAATAACATGTAAAGTGTCAGGAGACTAATATTTTCCAGCAGTCTACTGTATTAGATGCTTTCAGTTGTACTATCCATTGGTATCTGTCATATCATAGATGCTCAATAACTCAGTGGTTATACAAAGGAGAAACTGGAATGTGAAGACATTACATGATTTGCCAGAGATGATGAAGTTTTCATACAAGAACTAAGTCTTATTTCAAGAATTCCCAGTGGTACTTCCATTACATATTCCCTCTGTAACTCCAAACCCATCTTTCATACCAATTATTTCAAAGACTGTGTAATGTCAGCACAAGCAGCTTATGTTTTACAAATGTTTTTCTATCAATGGACTCTTGAACCTCACAAAATGATATGAGGTCAACAGGCAAATATTGCACTGGTCCTTTTTACAGACAAAGATCCTTGAGCATCTGAGGGTTAGGTGATTTTCCCTAGGCCACAGGGCTAAGAAGGGGCAGAGCCAGCACAAAACTTAGATCTTGTATGTCTCAGACTAGAGATCCCTCATCAGACCTACACCAGGCTGCTTCTCACTGAGTTATTTGATTCTGAAGATAGATACCCTTTGCTCTACCCCTTCTTCCTTAGCCATTAAAAATGTGAAATTAATCCTAAATATTAATTATCCTAATAAATCCTAAATTACAGGATCAGCAGTTGGATCCTGATTAATTTCCAAAGACATGATTTGTGAGAAGTGATGATAGCTCTCCTATGATAGCTACCATCATTTAGCTCGCCATCATTTAGGAGAATACAAGTAGCTTCCACTCTTCAGTTCAAATAGATGAGCATTTGTGGGGGAAAAAAAAAAACACTTGGTAGTTTTTCTTATAACTTTGGTTTCTAAGGCTACATTATAATGAAAGTCTTTGCTATTTGCACTGTCAAGCATAAATATGTTGCCACAGGTAATGTGTTATTATTGCACCTGATCCTCCTGCCTGGACTGGATTCTGCTCCTCTTTCCATTGCTGGCCAGTCTCTGAGGTGGTTCAAAAGAAACTAAAACCACAACACCCAGCCAGAAGTTGTCTTGACTTGGAATGGAATTAAATCTGTTACCAGAACTGGTAGTTATCCTAGGCTTCTGCGATTTAGACAGACACACCATCCTAACCCCTCTAGAACAAAGGTCAGCAAATTATGGCCAAATCCAGCCCATTACCTGTTTTTGTACTACCTGTGAACTAAGAATGCTCTNAAGTGCACCACACCGAGCGCTGATGACAAAGAGGTGGTCCCCACTATTTCTGTGGTCACTACTGGGATCAAGGTGACGTAGGCACCATCAAAGTAGCCAAAGGTACAAGAGAAAGGCACGAGCAGTGGGAGACTCTGAAGTATTGGGAGGCAGAGATAGCAGAGCCCATCTAGTCCCACGGCCAAGAGGTAGCAAACATACTGATAATTCTTCAGACACCTGTGGATTTGAAGAGCATGAGTGAGTGCAGGATGCACAGGCTCTATAAAAGAGCTTTAGAACCACGGCCATGCAGCAGTAGGCATTGCAGTTATTTATACAGATGGCTTCCCCATTGTGTGTTATCTATGTTGTCTTCCTATCTTTCTTTTGGTATATGCAAACACAAGAATGTATCTCCCCAGGAAGCATGGTGTGGTAGGAAGAATATATGCTCTAAAATGAGAAAGGTAGAAGATTGAAACCAGTTTTGTCACTAAGTATGGCCTCGATTTCTTTAGCTGTAACGTGAGAAGGTTACCTATCTTGAAGGGTTACTCTAAAGACAGTTGTGAAATAACATGTAAAGTGTCAGGAGACTAATATTTTCCAGCAGTCTACTGTATTAGATGCTTTCAGTTGTACTATCCATTGGTATCTGTCATATCATAGATGCTCAATAACTCAGTGGTTATACAAAGGAGAAACTGGAATGTGAAGACATTACATGATTTGCCAGAGATGATGAAGTTTTCATACAAGAACTAAGTCTTATTTCAAGAATTCCCAGTGGTACTTCCATTACATATTCCCTCTGTAACTCCAAACCCATCTTTCATACCAATTATTTCAAAGACTGTGTAATGTCAGCACAAGCAGCTTATGCTTTACAAATGTTTTTCTATCAATGGACTCTTGAACCTCACAAAATGATATGAGGTCAACAGGCAAATATTGCACTGGTCCTTTTTACAGACAAAGATCCTTGAGCATCTGAGGGTTAGGTGATTTTCCCTAGGCCACAGGGCTAAGAAGGGGCAGAGCCAGCACAAAACTTAGATCTTGTATGTCTCAGACTAGAGATCCCTCATCAGACCTACACCAGGCTGCTTCTCACTGAGTTATTTGATTCTGAAGATAGATACCCTTTGCTCTACCCCTTTCTCCTTAGCCATTAAAAATGTGAAATTAATCCTAAATATTAATTATCCTAATAAATCCTAAATTACAGGATCAGCAGTTGGATCCTGATTAATTTCCAAAGACATGATTTGTGAGAAGTGATGATAGCTCTCCTATGATAGCTACCATCATTTAGCTCGCCATCATTTAGGAGAATACAAGTAGCTTCCACTCTTCAGTTCAAATAGATGAGCATTTGTGGGGGAAAAAAAAAAACACTTGGTAGTTTTTCTTATAACTTTGGTTTCTAAGGCTACATTATAATGAAAGTCTTTGCTATTTGCACTGTCAAGCATAAATATGTTGCCACAGGTAATGTGTTATTATTGCACCTGATCCTCCTGCCTGGACTGGATTCTGCTCCTCTTTCCATTGCTGGCCAGTCTCTGAGGTGGTTCAAAAGAAACTAAAACCACAACACCCAGCCAGAAGTTGTCTTGACTTGGAATGGAATTAAATCTGTTACCAGAACTGGTAGTTATCCTAGGCTTCTGTGATTTAGACAGACACACCATCCTAAACCCTCTAGAACAAAGGTCAGCAAATTATGGCCAAATCCAGCCCATTACCTGTTTTTGTACTACCTGTGAACTAAGAATGCTCTTGTCTTGACTTGGAATGGAATTAAATCTGTTACCAGAACTGGTAGTTATCCTAGGCTTCTGCGATTTAGACAGACACACCATCCTAACCCCTCTAGAACAAAGGTCAGCAAATTATGGCCAAATCCAGCCCATTACCTGTTTTTGTACTACCTGTGAACTAAGAATGCTCTTTGATTTTTTAAGTGGTTGGAAAAAAATCAAAAGACTGATATTTTGTGACATGTAAAAATCATAAGAAAAATTCAAATCTCAGTGTACATAAATAAAGTCTTATTGGAACATAGCCACTCTCGATTGTTTACATATTGTCTCTGGCTGCTATTGCAGTAGAGTTGGGTAGTTGCAATAAAGATCATATGGCCTAGCTCACAAAGCCAGAAAATGTTTACTATCTGCCTCTTTAGAGAAAAAGTTTGCCAACCCCTGATCTAGAAGAACCAGTAAGGAAGTTGCCTTTAGATACTGAAGACTTGTTAACATTATTAGGTCATTATTTCAGACCTAGGTATCCTACAGGGTAAGGGATGAGGGAAAGATCAAGGCTTAAAGTTCCCCAATGGGTAACCAGTTGTGGTTTCATGAATTTTACCTTCTGTCAGTTAGCCATCCAAAGGTGATATTGCCAATAATGTTAATCACTCCAAGTATGGACATAAGAAAAGCAGCTTGCTGATGACTCACTCCAACACTCAAAGCATAAGGCACCAAGTACACAAAGATAGGGCTGCAGCCGTAAGCCATAAACAGAACAGAAATGGCTAACACAACAAAGTCTGGCATCAGTAAAAAACTATATTCCTGTTTCAAAGAGCAACAAAGGCAGGTCTGCACCCATTCTTTGGTCAAAGGTGAATAGCGAGACACTCGCTTAAAATCTTCTTTCTGAGTTCTACAGACATGGTTCTGCTCTGGAGTTGTATGGTCCTCTTTAAGAGTAATTGGCCGCATCAAGGCACCACAAACACAGAGATTCAAAACGAAGCCCCCAAGAATGAGTAGTGCTCCCCGCCAGGAAAACTGTTCAATAAGGAGCTGAACCACAGGAGCCAAGATGAAGGTCCCAATGCCACTTCCCGACATGGCGATCCCATAAGCAAGTGCTTTCCGTCTGCTGAAATACTTGCCAACCATGGCAATAGCTGGAGAGTAACAAAGTGCAAATCCAAGACCTGTGGGTAAAGAGAACTCCATGAGTGCTGGTACACCATGATGGCTAATGGAAGAAAGTGTCTCAGAATAAAATTACTTGGATTAAAGAGAATCTGACCTTTCGTTAAACCCTTTTAAAGTTGTTTTCTACACCAAGTTGAAAATGAGTCTTCTCTTGCCGGTTATCCACAATTGAGAAAATATAGAATATATTATGACTTTCTTCTTAGGAAGAACACCCATAAGGAAACATGACTTCTTAAACTAAATTAAATGATGAACTTAAAAATCATTAATTGAATTAACTAGAAAAATCTGGATAATACCAATCAAAGAAACTCATCCCTCCTTCCTTTTTTTAAAACTTAAATTATCCAGATTTATTGCCTCAACTCTTAACTGCCTGTGAAGACACAACACTGATAATGTGTATGACTCTGGAGTTTGGATTGAAACAGTATATATGAATACATGAAAGTTCCAGAATAATTTTGCATAGCTGGGAAACATCATCCCAATTTTATATGTGAACACAGCAACCTGAAAATATCCTTTAAGTTCAGCAGAAAATTGTTGATGGTTCAGAAAACTTTTTAAAGATTTGCACCTTCTATCAATCATTTAGTCAAGAAAATCTGAAAGGCTTCCAGCCTGGACTTCATGGCACCTACAATGTCAGAAAAGGAAAAGGAGAACAACCTTCAGCTCCTATTTCCATCTGCAGTGCAGGGTGGCCAGTGATCCAGAGTTGCCTGGACTGAGGGGTTTCCAGATGTGAGTCTTTCAGTGCTAAGACCGGGACAGTTCCTGGTAAACTGGGACCACGGTCACCATAGCAATCAGGCCCTTTGGGTTATAGGGGTGGGTGGATGTACCTTCTTTAGCTGACAGAGTGAGAATTACAGCCTCACTATGAGTTTACATCCTTTGTAGACCTGATTCATGCTACCCCAATAGCACAGTACCCAGATAGGAGTTGGTGCTACTCTCCACACCCGTCTGAGTGATGGCAAACTGCTACTCCAGTCCCACCAACCAACCCCATCCTGATCCTATGCAGCCCCCTTAAGTGTGTATGGAATATACATATGTTGCTTCTCTTTCAATGGGATTGGTTATGATTCGCTAAAGTGATACTTACATAGAATTGAGAGAATGTGTAATAGAAAAATATTCACAAGGGGCTTTCTTTTTAAAATTGCAAACTCCCATTTACTGGACAATGATATTCATTATAAAGCACGGGCAACTCAGGTTGACCATAGATAGTATTTTAATGTCTTGGCAAAGATGTTGAGAGAATGACCATTGCCGAAAATTTATGTGACCTTAGGTAATATATCGTTTATTCTGAGTACAGAATCTCAGCCATACACTAATGCCAAAGGGAAAGCCAGTGGTTACTTTTATCATATGGCCAAATTAAAGTGGTGATGCATTTTCATTAGGGTAGTGAAAACACATTTCCAGCTCTGTTTAACTGCTGGGTATGTAGACAAAAGCTGGATCAGCTAAATTATGCATCTAACAAAATGAATATTTTATAAATCATTGCTCTGTTGATGTGCTTGGCAACCCCTGAATGGAGTGGAATGACACAAGCCCTGACTATATGAGGCGGGGTGAGGCAAGTAATACAAAGTGCCCTTACCTGTAAAAACTCCCAGAGTGAGGTAGAGATGCTTCAGACTGGTGGCAAATGAGCCCAGGATGAGACCAGTAGATGCAAGCAAGCCACCCAGCATGATTCCCACTTGACAGGATAAATGATTACTGACAACACTCCCAAGTGGAGCTTCAAAAACAATAATAAATAGGTTCAACAGAAAGGCGCGAGGGCACCGCGAAAAGGCTGTGGTGTTGTATTGACAAAGCAGAGAATCATCAACCTTTAAAGCATTGAGCCTACCCCACTAACTCTACAGCTTTAGAAACTGAGGCCCAGAGAAAGGAAGTGATTTCTCCATGGTCACACACAGATTAAGTGGCAGAGCCAGAACAGAATTCAAGTCTCTTTAGTTTTAGTGCTCATTCCTTATCTTCATTCTGTTACAGTCATAATCCCAAGAATAGAGGGTGTTTTTTAAACAGTAGATCAACTCTTTATTTAAACTGCATGTCATTTGCACAGGGATGCTTGATATAATATTGCTCCTACACTATTAGCAATAATGATGACTGTTAATTGGTGGAGGAAAAAAGTGGGCAGCACTGTGTGACCAGCAGTGCTCTGCAGTATAAGACCAGGGAGAGAGATCATAGACAAGTTCCCCAATCTGGCACTGCCTTTGGGTTTTAGGACACCCTGTGGATGAGAAATCAAAGCCCAGAAATATCTAAGAAAAATCTTTTGCGTCCATGGTGACATTTTGGTTGGCTTCACTCTATTTGTGCTTTACCAGTGTATCAAAATTGTGTTGACCTCAAGGCTTATAGACTATTAGTTAAAGCTGTAAGAGGCCAAAGAGGAACTGAAGTTCAGGGGAATATGTCACACCCTAAGTCACCAAGAGGTATAGTTCAGGGCACCTGACACAGAGTGTGTGGTTATTTCACCCTGTTATTCCTTGGGTCTCCCAGACCACTGGCAGGAGTGATGGGTGAGAAAGACATGTGAATTCCTTTCTAAGGAACCATTCACGCTGACACCAGTACTCTTAGCAACAAGATAAGAAGAGTTGATTCTCTGGGTATCTGTTCAGTATGATCATTTTCTATTGATCAGGTTGAAATTGGGGGCCAACTCAAATGTACATGGTAGAATAAGTCATCAGTCCTATGTCTCCTGTCTAGTTAAAACAGTGGCTGGCTGTATATTTAACCTCTGGAGAATAGGAATGAGAAAATCTGAAAATATATCTAATTCTCAAGGATGCTGCTACTATGGTTGCTGGAAAGGGACAAAATTTACACCAAACTCAATAAAAAATGTTCACTTCTGTGTGCATAGGGCAGATCTGTTCCCAGTGTGTGTCCCAGATGTGATTCTGCAGCCTCTTCTCCATACTCTGAATTCTAATGTTCTAAGTTATATTACCATGTTAGCAGGTGTATATGGTAATTGGGTATAACAGGCCTCCTGTTCTTGTATGGAATTTAAACATGCTGCTTCTGACAAGACCCTGTTCAAAGCTTCACACAGTCATTGTCATCCTATTGGTCACCTAAGTTCATTTTCTCCTTTTGGGGTGATTATAAATATTCTCCAAAAGATAACAGTGAGGGAAATGAGTCATTGTATCCTCTGAGAAAGACAAACTGGCCTCTTGGTGTGCTGATCCAAAGGCTGTGGCTAATAATGTGACCTTGAAAATCAAGTGATTGTTTTACTGGTTAAAAAGAAAAGACAGACTACAGAACCCAAACATGATTTTTGATCCCTTAACACCCTCTTATCAGTTGAGTCAACTTAGCTTTCTCAAGAAACCTGCTTTTAGTCCTAGAATTGCTCTCAAATTCCTCCCAACCAAAGAAATACATTTCAGCACAATTCAACTGATTCTTGAGTATGTACATTTTTTCTAAAAATAAATGAGTGAGTACACTCGAAAGAAATCAGATGAAGTTTATTATGAGTTACTGAATAATACAGTATTTCCCTTTTTTTTAACTGAGACATGGCCCAAAGAGACAAAAGTTTTCTAAAATACTCAGAACTCAGCCAAATGAAAAAATTAAGTAGGTCTAGTCTGCAAACAGAGTATTTTGATTTGAGCCAATCTCACAAACTCTCTAAAACACCAACCTAATGACTTCGGGTTGAAATTTATGAAAAGAAAAATCTCAAAGTTTGTCATCCTCTATTATATAGGTGGAATGTGGTTTCCATGAATTTCTAGAATACCCTATATACCCTATATATTTGGGGTTTCTTGACTGAAGTTAGAGCCATAGTAAGTATGTTTAGCTCATGATTATACAACCCTATCCTTCCCCAATACATCTGTAAGCATGAAGATTTATGCATGAAAAAAGATGAAACCCATGAGGGAACAGAATGCGAACTAAGACTTGAGATGGGATGTAACACTGCTGGCCCTCATTTAGGGAGATCATATAGAAATGGGTCATGATGCTATCCAGTGACTGTTTACATGACTAGAGAACAAGGAGGCCGTAGTATCTGGAAGAGAGAAGCCAAGCATATACTGTACGGTAAACTGCTTCCAAAATCAGGATGAATTCTACAATCCTCAGCATCCTAACTTTATATGGAAGAGACAAATGGTATGTGTTTTTTTGAGTGTATTAACTACCTGTTCCATCTGACATCAGCCAAGACCATTAATTCTAAGAGTAAGTCTGGTTGGGTTTGGCTAAAGGTAGGATTGATCTTTTCTTTTTATATAGTCTTAGCCAATTTTTAACGTAGCCCTTCTCCTTAGAAAAACTGGTAATCAGAGTCAGTGGAAGGTCATTTTCAGGTACAGTTAAATAGTAGCCAGTAATTGTCTATCCTGGTAAGTGATACTCACCACAGAGCATGGTCACACAATCTACAATGGAATGGATCCATGCTGTTTGTGCATAATCCTGAGCAAAGTATGTCTGGAACTCCACAAAAAAAACTGAGATACATCTGAAAAATACAATGCAGGGCATTTTATACAAAAAGTAAATGAACATGTATTTGAACCAGAACTTAAAAGTTTTGGTTCAATCAGCTGTTCTACTCTCCAAGGGTTTTAATTGCTGGATCATAATATATGTGAAATCAGAAGCTGACCATTTGGGCCATTCTGGAGAAAAGAAGTGTTCAGTCACCAGAGGATCTGCTGAGGTGAAGTAAATGTGAAGTTCACAGCTCTAGGGAAGATTTTATGGAAAAGATAGCAGGTCAAGAACATGAATTCTTACTTATCTTAATATTTTGCTAACATGTGTAACTTCCAAGAGATTGTTTTACAAGGTAAAATTTGACAATAAAGAGTTATACTGGGCCGGCCCGGTGGCACACTGGATAGTGCGCCACTTGGGAAGCGCGGCGGCGCTCCCGCCCGAGGGTTCGGATCCCACATACAGACCAGTTCCTGCTCACTGGCTGAGCGAGGTGCGGGCGCGACACTGAGGGTTGCGATCCGTTGCCGGACACGAAAAAAAGACAAAAAAAAAAAAT